TCGCGATCTCACATGAAAGAGCAAGGGCTTCGGATCGCAGGTTTCGACACTTGGTCGTCTCGACTGCCGCGTTAGGCAGTTTGGATATACGTACCCCTCGTGCGTGGTGGGTTTGCGATGACGGGGTTTCACGATTCGTTGCGAGGATCGGGATCGGGATCGGGTGTGAGACGGCCATTTTCGTGGAGGGAATAATGGTGGGAGGGGATGGGAGGATGGATTGGTTAAGGACAGCTGTTATTGAATCGGTACTACTAATCCTCCTGGACAACTTCACGTCTTTGTATCCCGAGATTCGCTTCCTACGGGAGACCGTGCTTCCGCTATCTCGAGGGTTCGCAAAAAAGAAACAGCGAAAAAAGTTCCTAGTGACCTCCGACCGCCTCGTGGTGCGTATACGCAGACTTGGCCTCGACCTCCTCGACCCTGCGCTCGAGATCGTGCGGCGAGTAGTCGTTGCGCTTCATGCCGGGCACGAAGATGGGCGCGTTGGTGAAGAGGTATTTCATTTCTTCGAGGGGTCGCTTTGCGGTTTCCGGGAGCACGGCGTAGAAGAAGAGTGCGTTTGTGCAGTTGCATACCTGTAAGAACAGTAAGTAAAGATACCAAAAATAATAGGAAGCCTAGGTAGTGAGCGAAATGCTATATACTTACGGCGAATAGAATGTAGAACTTGTAGCCCACGGCCTCCATGGCGATGGGAGTGACCTGGCCAATCATCGTGTTGAAAGCAAACGACACCATAGTCGCCATCATCACGCCCATCGAACGTGTCTTCGTATCGAAGATCTCGGCCGGGATGATCCAGGACAAAGGACCACATGTCGCGCTGAAGCTGAAGTTGTAGAGCCACGTGATGATGATGAAGCCCCATGCCGCAGACGTATTATCACTAGCACCCGGAGGGAATTTTGCGAGGAGAATGGTCGCGATAATGAAGGTCAACATGTTGCCCAAGTTGCCAAGAATAAGAGGCCAGCGACGACCGAACTTGTCGATGAGCAAGATGCAGAGCATCTGCGCGACTAGTGCGATAACGGAGGAAATGGCCTGGTACTTCAGCGTGTCGTCGCCGGCGATGCCCATAAGCTTGTAAATGGACACGGAGTAGTACTGGATCGCCGATACGCCCGTCATCTGGACGGAAGCTTGTATGGCGCAGGCGAGGAAGACACGACGGAAGCAGGATCTCTCAGTAAACAGCTCGAAAATCGATTGCGCTTCGTGTTCGTGCTCATAGGTGATGGCGTCTTGAATCTGGTCGAATTCGGCACGGACCCAGGCGTCATTGATGTCGCCGTGAGAATGGAGTTTGGCCAATGTGGCGAGGCCATCTTCGGGTCGACCCTGAGAGGAAACGCGTCAGTGAACAGTAACTACAGCCAGAAGATGGAGGAGGAAGGTGGGCATACATGGTCGATCAGCCATCGAGGACTTTCCGGGAAGAGCAGGATAAGAGCAGCGAGAACCACAGCTGGAATGACCTGAATACCGAGACTGGTTCGCCATTGACCGTCGTTAGTCGGGTCGAAGCCGACATAAGTACCGTACGAGATCCACGCAGCTGCGAGAGACCCAACACCCAACATGAACTGCTGAAGGGCAGTCACGCGACCACGAATACTCGGATGCGCCAATTCGGCCTGATACAACGGGATGATCATGCAAAGCACACCAACACTGCAAAAGGTCAGCCTCGACACAATTACCAACCACATAGAAGGCATTGAACTCACCCAAGCCCAGCAATCGCACGCCCAGAGTACAAATACGCCAAAGTCTGCGCACCAGTCTGCAACGCACCACCCAAGCAAAACACCATGGCCCCAATCATAATAGTCAACCTTCGACCCCACGCATCCGCGAGCCACCCCGCCGCGAACGCGCCAAAGAACGCACCGCCCGTGAAAACCGACACCACAGCGCCGGTCTCGGAATTGGTAGGCTTGAACCTGGTGCCGAAGGACTGCGACGCGATGACCTGGGCGATGACACCGAGATCATATCCGAAGAGGAGTGAACCTAGGGAAGCGAAGACGCCGACCAGGAACTACCGTGATGCACGAGTTAGCCAACGTTCTGCTCTGGCCGCGTGTGCGGCGGAGATGGATAGATGCGACGAACCTGGTACCATTTGGGAGGAATCGCCATTGTGGTCTTTCTCACTTGTTTGCCTATGGAGGGTATGGTACTATTCCTTCACGACGAGGTTCGAGGAAAGAGAAACCTTCTAGACGCGAACAAAGCGATTCAGAACCGCGACCCATCTCCCCGGACCTTATATACATACTCCCATTATTCACACCATTCTCACGCCTCAACCCCAACCCCTCACGTGCCCACCATCCCCCATCCGACACTTCCCCGGATTCCAACATCGTATTGCAACCCGGATTTCCCAACCCCGCATCCTCCACACTCCCATTCCTCCAATCCCCGCAGCACCGCACGTTCGCTCGGCCGCTGATTGTCCGGCCGACGAGCCCGCGCTTGCGGGTGAGATGCTGCATGCGGGATAGCTAGGCGCGGCGACTGGGTGCCGGGTTTTTCCGCGAATCGGAGGGACGGGCTGGGGTGCGCGTGTTGGTTTTGTACCTAGGTATTGTGTGGTGGTGGTGGTGGTGATGTGGTGGGGGTGCGTGGGCTTGGGATGGATGGGTGGGTTGGCTTGTGACCTTCGGGGCTTTTTGTTCTTCTTCTTTTTATTTTGTTATTGTTTTCCGATTTGTTCAATTGAAATTCAGTTTTGGCACCGTGGGAAGACGAAAGGAAAAGCAAAGAAAAGATGGCGACATTCACCAGAATCCCCTCCTCTACACCACCCTCCATCACCATACATCCTGAGCACACAATCGCGCAAATCAACGATAACATCTATGGCGGATTCACAGAGTGCGTGCGCCCTTCCTCTCCTCTCCCCTCCCATCCCATCCATTTCCCCAAAATCAATCTACAAGAACAAAACAAAAGCTGACAGTAAGCCAGACACATGGGCCGCTGCATCTACGGCGGCATCTACGACCCCTCCAACCCACTCTCCGATGCCAACGGGTTCCGCAAAGACGTCATCGACGCGATGAAAGAGCTCAATGTACCCGTAGTGCGGTATCCGGGCGGGAACTTTGTAGCTACGTATCATTGGCTCGACGGGGTTGGACCGAAGGACAAGAGGCCGAAAAGGTGCGTGTGAACGAACATGCCCGTATCCTGGAGATACTGTGATAGCCCAGCAAATGAAGAATTGGGCCGAGAAATGCAAACATTGGACTGATTGGGCTGATTGTGTACGAGACAGACCAGAGCTCGCATGGCTAGGCATCGAACCCAACACCTTCGGCACCGACGAGTTTATGAAATGGTGTGAGATAGTAGGCACGGAACCGTATCTCTGTCTTAATTTCGGCACGGGGACACTGGATGAAGGTCAGTAGTAACAGTAGTCCTACCAACCACACACCACCACCACCACCACAACTTCCCCAGCCCCGGCATCGAGAAGAGAGAAAGCAAGGACAGCGTTTCTGATACATTCTCAGTACAGCCCTAGGCTGGCTCGAATACTGCAACTCGACCCAAGACACATACTACGCAAACCTACGGCGCGCCAACGGTCATCCAGAGCCCTACAATGTACCTCACTCTCACCACTCCTTTCACACCCCCAACTAACCCACCCACAGGTCAAATACTGGGCCCTCGGCAACGAATGCTGGGGCCCGTGGCAAGTAGCCCAACTCAGCAAAGAAGCGTACGCAGCACAAGCCTACCAATGGGCGAAAGCGCTCAAGCTTCTCGACCCCAGCATCACGCTGATTCTCTGCGGCGAAACCGGGTACTCATCCTGGGACGCCTACGTGCTGAAAGAATGCGTGCGATGGGACGTCCACGGCCTCTCGGGCTCGACAACAAAGTCCTTGATCGATATGCACAGCATACACGTCTACACGGCCGACAACACTTCGCACATAGCCAACGCGACGGCGCCGCGCGGCGCAGAACGCGCGATTCAAATGGCGTCCGCGTTGATCGATCTCGCGCGGATCGAGAATAGGGTGCCGGAGACGGTGCCGAGGCCGTTGGTGTGTTTCGACGAGTGGAATGTGTGGGATCCGGTGAGGGCGCCGGGAGAGCTGGGTGCCGAGGAGAAGTATACGTTATCCGACGCTTTGGCTGTCGCCGTGTTTCTTACGGGCTTTATTCGTCAGGCCAGGGATCTGGGTATGGCGAATATCGCGCAGTCGGTGAATGTGATTTCGCCGCTTATGACGAGTAAGGATGGGGTCATGAAGCAGACGACGTGGTGGCCGTTGTTGCTGTTTAGTAAGTATATGCGTGGGCAGAGTGTGGCTGTTAATGTGCGGGCGGAGGAGTACTTGGGAAGGACGAATCCGGGGTGGATTAGAGGGACGATTGAGACGCCGTTTTTGGAGTCTTGTGCTGCGGTTCAGGACGGGTGGGTGAATCTGGCGGTTACGAACGTGAGTGAGGAGAAGGATTACGTGGTGCCGATTGACGGGTTGAAGGAGGGCAAGGTCGATGTGTTTACTGTTGGAGGCGAGAATGTGAGCGTGGTGAATACAGAGGCGGAGCAGAAGGTGGGGATTAAGGAGGGAACTTGGGATGGGAAGGGTCCGTATAGGTTTGAGAAGCATTCCTTTACGTTGTTGAGGTGGAAGGCGTGAGGGGTGTGTGTACTAGGAAGGGAAGGAGCGATAGGGGGAATATCGTTTCTACAACGCACTCAATTAGACATGAATGAATCTAGATCCCGTTGCATTTAAAATCCCCAATCCCTCACCACCCTCATTGCATCCCATCCCACCCCATTGCGCCTACCTCGCTTCCACCCGCCCCACCCCGCGGCACCTATTATTCCCCCTAACCATCAATAAAACCCACTTCATCCCAAAAAACCTCTCTCTCCTTACATCCCCACCCCCACCCACCTATATAACGCACACAACGCGCCAATAAAATTACTAATCACCACGTGAAAGCGCGGGGCATTGGCGCAATGGTAGCGCGTCTGATTCCAGTTAAATAGACTCAGTCAAGTTTCTGATTCTGGAAGATCCAGAAGGTTAGCTGTTCGAATCAGCTATGCCTCAGAACGAGGGAATTCTTTTTTTCCTTCTTTGTTTTTTTGGATATGATGAATATTCATGTGGATTGTCGATAGCGCGTGGTGTACACGCATGTGCTAGCTAGCCCTGCATGTAATTATATATGTATATGTACGCGGGTGGAGAAAGTTTACTAGAACCAGGCTAGCGAGGCGCAAGCAAGATGGAATAAATAGACGGTGTGGGCCTGTTTACTTTTTATATAACGAATGGTCTGTCTATATATAGCATGCATATAGAGCAGTGCAGTGAGATGTATGCAGTCAATAGGTTTTGAACGAAAGCGAATGTACAATAAATTAAACCCTATGTACCACCCTCTACACCTGCTCATTCACAATCAAACCCGCCATACCCATGCCCGTGCCTATGCACATGGACGTCAAAAGCACCTTCTTCTTCTGCCTCCTCGCCTCGCTCAGACCCGTAACAATCTGTCTCGCGCCCGTGCATCCCAGCGGGTGACCCAGGGCAATCGCGCCACCGCGAACATTCAGCTTGGAGGGGTCGATCTTGAGCGTCTCGATGCAGTACACGGCCATGGATGCGAAAGCCTCGTTGATCTCGATGAGGTCAATGTCGTCGATTGTCAGGTTGAACCTGGTCAGCAGCTTGGGGATCGCAATGGATGGGCCGATACCCATGATTCGGGGCGCGAGACCGGCGACGGCAGCACCGACGAATTTGGCGAGAATGGGCTGACCGAGCTCCTCGGCGCGCGATCGCTTCATCAGCAATATAGCCGCGGCGCCGTCGGTGACCTGCGAGGAGTTTCCTCCCGTGGACTTGTCACCGTGTGGCAGGAAGGCCGGCCTGATCTTCTGTAGGGCGTCGAAAGTGGTTCCCCACCTTGGTCCCTCGTCCTTGGACAGTGTGACGTGGGTCTCGTCGCCCGTCTTCGGGTCCTTGATCTTGACCTGGATGGGCACAATCTCGTCGTCGAACCAGCCAGCCTTTTGCGCCATCTCGGCACGTCTGTAGCTCTCCGTCGCAAACCGGTCCTGCTTCTCGCGCGAGATGTTGAAGTCGTTACCGACGTTCTCCGAGGTCTGGCCCATGGGCTGCATGCAGTCGGCTCCTTCCGGGGTCTCGAGGATCTCGTCGAAGAAGGGTCGCTCGAGCCGGTCGCCGCCGACAGTCATGGACTCTGCGCCGATGGCGAGACCGACTTCGATGGCGCCGGTCGAGATCTGGTTGGCAATGTCTTGCACGGCTTTGAGGCCCGAGGAGCAGAAGCGGTTTACGGAGGAGCCGGCCGTTGTATTGGGGAAGCCGGCACCGAGCATGGCGGCGCGGTTGTAGTATGCGGCTTTGGAATCTGAAACATTGCCCAGACAGATGTCCTCGACGAGCGCAGGGTCGATCTTGGACTTTGCAATCACCTGCTTCATCAACTTGACGAGTATGCCATCGAGCGGGGTGTCCTTGAAGCCGCCCTTGAAGGCCTTGGTGAGCGGGGTACGGATCGCGAGCGTGATGACGATGTCATCAGGGTTCTTCGTGGTACTGCGCACTTGTCAACAAAGATGATCTTCTCCAGCTGCGCGGGAAGCTTACATGGCGTTCAATCCATTCTTGGACGTGGCCGGGGAGATATGGTTTACGATGGACTTGAGGCGTTCCGTCATCTTTGCTGTGTTGTAGGGAGAGAAATTGTGGTGTGAAGAGGGATGAAGGCGGTGTTTGTGGCAGAGAGAGTTGCGGAGGATGCGGAGGTAACAACAACGGTCGAGTGTGGGGCGCCGAAAGCCGAGGCACCTCGGAAGAATGTCACGGGGTCAGACATTGTGGTGATTGGACGGTCGTTGCGGCTGTAAGCGGTGAAAGTAATAATCACTTGTTTGCGTGTGTCTGGGGATAGGTTAGTAGTCTATGTATTGTACGTGTATTAGATGTGAGAGAGTGAGTAGGTGGACCCCCCTGGGTGATGATGTTCGGGTAACCGCGACCGACGTGCTCCGCACTTCCTGCCATCAACGTCATCGTTACTTCCATCTACGGTTCCAGCGCTATTAATACCCCTGCCAGTACGAAATTCATACCATACACCAGAGAACGCGTGGGGTAGTCAGACTCACAACCAGCTTCACTCCCTTCGTTTTATGAACCCAAGATGATTCCAGTCGTCCAGTGGGAACACAACGCGCAGCTCCAGTCCGGTGCAGCCGTACAACACACCCTAGAACCGAGCGCTTTGTTCTTCTCGACTTGTGTGATGGCAGCGGTGAGGGCAGCCGGTAGCTGGGTGAAGCTGATCTGAGGCCAGTCCCAGTCAGGAGGAATTTCCCAGGGGCAAGGATTCACGCAACCCCAGATAATGAAGCAGCATGGATCGTTCTCTCCGTCGTCAACGACGTCGACGGCTGTGGTAGTAGATGCAGGACCAGTGTCGATAGTGTCGGCTTGGTCCCCGCATTTCCAGCAGTAATAGGCGATGCCGCAACATATCTTGAAATCGTGGACCGCCTGGTCATCCTGGCTCAAGACCTGGTGGATGGCGGTGGTGATGGCGCCGGGGAACTTGCCGACGTCGAGGCTGTTGATGTTTGCAGAAATACCTAGGTCGAAGTCGAAGATGATTTCCTGGAGGATGGGAGCCGTGTTACTAACGGGAGATGATGTCGTCGATAATGCAAGGAAGAAGGGTAGCAAGAGCGTGAGCAGCATTACGGCACGTTGTTGTGTAGGTGTTAGGCTCCAGAGAGATATGGGGATAAAGCGAAGTGGTAGTTTAGGACGGATAGGTGGTGAAGAAGGAGGAAAGGCGAAAGATTTTATGTTGTGTCGAGTGATACAAAGACATAAAAATTGCGTTCAAAGACATTCGGACCTTCGTGAGAGTGAGAGACGTTCCATGCAGAAGCAGGAAGGTGCGACCAGCCCACTCCCGACCTCAAAAGCACCCTCAGTTTGATCATAGCAATGGGGAATTTTTGCCTGATGTGTTATCTCGCACTACATAGTACCGTCTCAAATATAGTCTATCTTTTAGGCTTCTCCCACAAGATGCTGCACTAGGTTGCCGCTTGCGTTGAATCACAGGCCGGCCTACAGTCTGTCACTCACACTCATGTGCCGCGCGTTATGGCCCGTCGGACAAGAGGCAAGCAACTACAACGCATTTACCGCACGGAATGTGTTATACACGGGTAAAACTTTAGTTATGTTACTCATCGTGAATAGGGTCTTTTTGACATCCCGATTTATCCCGGGTTACGGATAGTACCATGGTAGTCGTGTATGTTGTCTGGCACGTGGGCTCCTTTCACACCCGGTTCTTGCCGATAATACGTAACACTGGTGCAAGCACATGATTACATCCATTCACAGCCCTACAAAGGATTTTCTTTCCGGGGTCGCACTCATACATGTGGACAAATTCGGCAGAGACGGCGTGATGTCGACGTTGCCTCTTACAATTCAGACTTTAGAATTCACATTACTAGACATGATGGCTAACTTAGGGTAGCTAAGCAGGATTGACATCTTGCGCACCTGGAACAAGTAGTGAATGCCCCCAATACAGTCAAAAATGCTGGAGAAATACTCGGCGGGGTGTGTGTTTGGGTGCGTGCAGCTGATTCCTACGGGGGCACTGAGGAGTATTTGGCATATATCACGCCTGTTCGCATTGAGATGTCAGCTAGTCGGACCCCTTAACGTAAAGAACTCATTCTGTGATCTCATAGTCATCTAGTCTTCACACGTGTTTCTTCGATAGCATTAGTGCGCGACCGCGATAGTATATAAGGGGTAGATAGCAATACACACTGACTCAGGCCCTTTGTTACACACAGCGAACGGATCGGGGCGACGATCTCACCATTTCCCAGAAACTCAAAGATGCCGATGTTGAGGATAAGGAAGGCTGGCATGGCGGGGATTTCGATGAGGCCTAGGTCATCGAGTGATGATGGGGAAATAAAGAGGGGAGATTGATGTTTCGGATGATTGGTTTCCTACTGTCTGCGACGGCGCATCGAGAGCGAATCGAATAGCTAGCCGTTCTTTGGGAGAGGATGATGGATGTGTACGTGGGGTCGGAGAACCAGAGGTCTGATGCCTTTGATGTATTCTAAGAGACTTCATCTTCCTTCATCCGGATCCAGCCTAGCGCTTAAGATGGGTATGCAGGGGGGTGCCCGTTAGGCACCACCTACGGATCTAGGCGAGCTGCTGCCTACGGATGTCCGTGCTCTCGAAACCTCATAAAAACCCCAAGCCAGACACAGCACATCGCGCAAGTCCATCCCTTCCATCCCTCGCCCTTCAAATCTACGAACTGCGAGCTCTCCAGCGAATAAGCACATGTAGTGAATGAGTCAATCACGTGCATACGCGTCGTAGCCTGACTCGAACTACTCGGCGGCAAAACCAACCCCCCACCCAATCCATTTTTCGGCAACACAAGAACTCTGCATTTGCGACACGCAAAGCGAGTGCGAGTGTGCCACAGAATTCGGATACATATTGTACACACGAAAAATGGGCCAGTCACAATCCAAAACGGGGCACACTGTCGGCGGCGCTGTGCGTCCGGGAGCGGGAACGCCAGAGCCGGAAGCGAAAATGGATCCGGAGGAGCGCGCGAGGTTGCAGGCTGAGGTACAATACTCATGAGCTCCTTTTTTTCTGCCTCCACTTTTCTATACACGTTGTGTTGTTGTTACTTGGGAAGTGAGGGTGGGCGCTGACACGTGGGCCAGGAGCGCGAACGTCGTGCCGCTGCCGCTCAGCAGCGCCTTGCTGGCTTGCAGAAGAAGAAGGGTGCGATGCCATCTGCGGCTGCGACGTCGGCGCCGAAGAAGAAGTCTGCGCTTGAGCAGATGAGTGCGGAGAATCGTGGTTGGAGGGCTGCGGATGAGCAGGCGGATCTGAGGGCGTGGAATTGAGAGGTGGTAGAAGGGGGTGATAGATCTGCAAGGCACAGTATGTAGAAAGTATGTAGGTACTAGGTACAGAACCGTGATAGCTCTATGATCTTT